GCGCTGCTGGAGCCCGGTGCTGGGGCTCACACCGCAGCCAGGGCAGGAGAGCTATTGCTCCACGTGTGTCGTCGGGCCACCCTCCGGAGTGAGAGATGCCAGCGCCACGGGAGCTGGCGCTTTCCCACAGAGAATTTTCCCCTCGGGGACGGTGCTGCCTGCGGCCCAGCCCCTCCGGGCTCGGTGCATCGCCTGTGTGCTCGTGTCCCGGTGCTCGCTGGCAGGAGCTAGAGCACAGCGTGCTTTCTGCGGCTCAGCCGCGGTGTCCCGTGGTAGGGTCACACCATGGGGCCCACCCGTTAGCGCCTGGCCCCTTTGCCGGCCACGCCCCGTGTTTTTGGGGTGCAGACCCCTTTCTAGGAATGGGTGTGCGATGCCCTGTGCTTCCCCCACGGCCCCTGGGCTGAAAGCTGGTCGTAGCTGTTGTGACTTGAGGCTCTCCAGCTCTGCGTGCTGCTCGCCTCTCTCCTCCTTCCAGCTCGGGGAGCCCGTCCCCGGGCAGGAGCCGGTGGCCATCGCCGCCTGGAAGCTGGCCACCCCAGGCTGCTGCCGCTCCGCGGCCAGCCCGTTCAGCGTGGGCAAGTCAACGGTGGGTCCGGTGGCGATGGAGGTGTGGGATGCGATCCTCGAGGTGGTTTACCCCCGTGTCGCAGCCGTGAAGAACATCCCTGAAATAAGGGCCGCCTCTCGGAAAATGGGTTCCCCAGACTGTGCGGGGGACACTGATGTGACAGATGGTCCCATCGTTTGTCCTCGGGAAGGAGCCGGCGAGTACACGAACTGCGGTGGGCATTGCCCCCCGGGGCTGGGTGGGCACCGGGAGGGCTCACGAGCACCGGCGTGGGGAGCACCGCCGGGTCTGGGACGCCAAGGTGCTGACGAGGTCAGGCATAACGTGCTGGGCCAAGCGGGGACGTTATTCCCTCCCAATGACGTTATTCTCAACGATGCGTCGGTGCCCACGGTTACTCTGGGGGACCCTGCCGACCCCCCCTGCCCTGGCTGGTGGCACCTTATCGAGGCCACGTGAGAAGTGGGAATTCGGCTGCAGGGGGGTGGTGGAGCTGAAGGCGGGCTGAAGCCCCGCTGGCGCTGCCTGCACAACCGGCTGGG